TTGGGATTTGGGATTTGGGATTTCGGCATTTGGGATTTCGGCATTTGGATTTTGAATTTGGGTGGCAGGTATATTTTGTTTTATTTCTTATTTGTTATTATTTTATTAATATAATTATATATTTTATTTATTAGTTATAATTAGTATTTATTAGTGTAATACAAATTATGTAAATTAATAATATAGATCATAGTGGTTCAGTTACTGGTCAATTTACTGACCAATTTAGTAACCAACTGATTGACCAACTTAGTGACCAACTGATTGATACATTTACTAGTTAAGATTTTAACCAACTTACTAATCAACTTATTTGTCAAATCAAATATTATAAAAAGGATGAGTTTTTTTTTTACCTCAAGACAAATTTGAATAGTTCTAAATAATGAAATTTAGAAAGTAATCTCAATTATAAATTAATTCTATAATTGAATTAATATTTTTATAATTCTAAAGTAACTGGATTATTGATTGTCTTGATTATACTTACACGCAAAATTATTTGGAACCCCGAAATTATAATTTTGAGAAAAAAAGTTGAAATAGTTTTTTATAAAAGACAAATTATTTTACTTAAAACTTGAAATTTTTTGATCACATAGATTTATTCTTTGATTAAATATACATATAGCTGGATACTTTTTTTACTTCCATATATAAAAATAGATTCTGCATAAATTTCAAAAAGTCGAAATATTTCAAAAATCCAAAATCAATTTTGAGAACATGTATAGTCTTGATAATAAACTTATATCTTTTATATTTAAAACTCTGTTACTTTTCTATTAATTTATATTCTTCAAATATAAATTTTGATCCATAAAATTCTGTTATTATTTTATAAACCATTGATAAATATATTTAACTTTTTGCCTTAATTTCTTAAACTAACCTTTAAAATTTAACCTTTAAAATTTAACCATTAATTAATAATTTAATTTCTGTGATTATAAAATTCTTAAGTCCTTTAATTAGCTTTAGTATTTAACTTAAAAATATTCTTTTATTCTTTTAAAATTATCTTCTTCAATTCATAAACTAAAATAACTGTTTATGAGTTGCTAGTTGCAAATTGTTTTTTGAAAAATAAAATTATTCTGAAAGGTTAGCTAGTAATAATATATACTATCATGTCTTAACCTAGCATATCATTCCTTTTTAAAGGAAATCGATTGAAAACATTAAGCCAATATATAAACTTTATATAAGCAGTCAACTAATGACTTGAGTTTTGTGATCATCAAGTTGTCCATACCTACTTGTTATAATCTAAATCACTATTTACTTCTAAAAGAAATCGATTGAAAACAATAATTCAATATACAAGTGTGATGATAGTATATTCAAGTATGATAATGGAAATTGACCACAATCATCATTCAAATGATGTGAGAAAAAGAAATCACACATTAGCCATAGCACATGTCTTAATGGCATTCAATTGATGATGCAAATGTAATCTATATATCATTCAAATTTTAGGTTATATCAGATTATCTCTGACAAGTGAAAAGTAAAATGCTTATCATTCAAGTGATGACAAAAAAATGAAATGCACATCACAAATGACCTGACATAACCTACACTAATCAGAAATAACATAATTATGTCATTTCTGATTACAAAGTAACAAGTAACAATAATTTTGCTATACTATTAAAGGGATATCAAAATTTTATTGTGTTTTCACTGTAAGAAAATTACTAGTGAGAAATATATAATTATCAAATTTTGTTATATTTCTGCTAGAAGGCATCATATTGTTACTAGTTAACCTTTTGGTCTAATTCTGTTTTCCAAAAGGAGGTTTACTCTAGTAACTTGTAAACAAGAAGAAAACAAATTTATAAATAAAATTAAAAAATAAGTAATAAACTATAAAGACTAGTAGAAAGGACTTTGGATTTATGAGGATAATTATTAAACTATGATAAAATTAGCTATTAAATTTAAGTAAGAAATTTAAGAAATTAATGCAGAGGATTAAAAGTATTTATCAATTATCAAGAATTTATATTCAAAGATGTGATTTACAAGATGGCACATGGCACAATACGCGACACTCCTGGGGCGTTCAAATGTTATATCATGTACCCCAGTCATGCATTAGGAATTGCGTTATTTTATAAAAAAAAAAATCAGATCTGACTCAACTTTTTCAAGTCTCCTTTCTATGGATAATAATAATGATAATGAATCTGGCCCATCAGTCGTCACGGCTGATGATTGGCCCGAAGAAGACTTTAAAAGGAAAAAAAAGAAGTCGAAAAAGCCAGTGAATGATAATGAAGATAATAATGAAGATAATAAAAAAGGAGAGGAGGAAAATTCAAAATCAAAAAACAAAAAGAAAATGAAGAAAAAAAAACCAACGGCGGAGGAAGAGAAAAATATACCAGCAGCAGTAGAAGAGGACAAGACACCAGCAGCAGAAGAAAATAAGACACCAACAACAGTGGAAGAGAAAAAAACTGAATATTCTGAAGACAAAGAGAATGAAGGTACCAATGAAGAAGAGGAGGGAGAAGATTCAAAATCGAAAAGCAAAAAGAAAAAGAAGAAAAAAAAACCAGGGGTGGAGGAAAAGAAAAAGACACCAGCAGAAGTGGAAGAGAAGACACTAGCAGCAGTGGAAGAGAAAAAGACTGAACCTCCTGAAGATAATGAAGAAGAGGAGGGGGAAGATTCAAAATCGAAAAGCAAAAAGAAAAAGAAGAAAAAGAAACCAGCTGCAGAGGAAGAGAAAAAGACACCTGCGAAAAAGAAAGCCCCTGTTGCTGCTATAAGAGCAGCCTTAGAAGCTCAACGGTAAAGTTATAATTGATCATTTTTGAATAATACATTTCTTGGAGGAATATTGGTTTTAACGATTTGTATTATTTCAGTGCCGCCGAAGAAGAAAGGAGACGGCAGGAGGAAGAAGAGCAGAAAAAAATCGAAGGTCATTATTTCTTTCGAATAGACTTTTGTCGTTTCTAGACCTAATTAGTTTATGTTTAACCAATTATTATTTTTTTAGATGAACGACGACGTGTCGAGGAAGAAGAACGCCGTAAAGAAGAGGATAAACAGAGAAGAAAGGAAAAAGAAAGGGTTAGGGCTTTAATTTAATTTATTTAAAAAAAAATTACAAATGTCCAAGGTATTTTAACATAATTCTGTATCGTATATTAGGCTAAGAAAGAACAACTTAAAAAGGAAGGCAAGTTTTTAACAAAGGCTCAAAAGGCTAAGCAACAACAGGCACAATTACGGTTACAGCAAATGATACAATCCGGTGTCATAGTAGAAGGCCTTGATAAAGAAGGTGACCAGAAACCGAAACGAGTTGTCTACACTAAGAAGAAGAAACATATCAAGCAGGAACAAGATAAGATTGAAGATCAAAATTCAATAACAAAAGCAGAACCAGAAGTTGCTTCACGAACTATTGAAGAAAAGGATCTAACCAATAGCGGTTAGTTTAGCATAACAATACTATTTATAATCTTCAGTGTTAGGTTATTTAATCCTATTATAATTTTCATGCTTCAATAATTTAGAGATAAAGGAAAGTTGGGAACAACAAGAAGAAGCAGAAAAGGATGAAATTGTTGTTAAATTAGTTGACAAAAATATAAAGGCAAGTTGGGAAGAAGAAGTAGTGGAAACTAATAAAGCTAGATCAGTTGGAAATAATAACGACGTTAAAGAACAATGGGATGTATCATCGGACGAAGAGGATGAAAAGGCTCCCTTACCTCAAGGTATTTTAATATTTTTTATTTATTTATTCATATACTTGTTGTTTTTCCACTAAATTTATTATACATCTAAAGAATTACCAACGGAACAAGTAAAGAAACCATCTGAACCTGCAAAAAGAGTTCAAACAAAAGAATCTAAGAAAGAGGAGTCAGAAGAAGAATCGGAAGAAGAATCGGAAAAAGAAAGCGAAGAAGAAAGTGAAGAAGAAAGTGAAGAAGAAAGTGAAGAAGAAAGTGAAGAAGAAATGACTGAACATAAAAAACAAATTATGAAACGTAAAGCTGATGCAGCAGAACGTCGCAAGGTTCTTATTTTTTTATTATTATGTAATTTGTTTTTAAACATAAATCTTTATTAACTTGAGTAAATTAGTTACGGCACGAGGAAGCTCTCGCAGCTCGATCAAAAGATGATCTGCGATCTCCAATTTGCTGTATTCTTGGTCACGTTGATACAGATAAGTATATTTATTGATAGCAATCTTATATAAAATATATATTGTTATATTTTATATTGTTCATAACTCTAATCAAAATTTCTCTTATTGTTAACACGTAAGACAAAATTACTAGATAAAATAAGACAAACAAATGTACAAGAAGGCGAAGCAGGAGGTATAACGCAACAAATTGGGGCCACTTATTTCCCTATGGAAACTATTAAGATCAAAACAGCTCCTCTTAACAAGGTATAATATTCATTATTTTTTAAATTCATTATATATATATATATATATATTTATATTCATATCATTAACGGATCTTTAATTTGTTCGTAGGACGGCAAACAAGAATATAAACTTCCTGGTCTTTTAGTTATAGACACTCCCGGTCACGAGTCATTTACTAATTTACGTTCCAGAGGTTCCTCTTTATGTAATATTGCTATCCTAGTTGTCGATATTATGGTACTTTAATTATATTATTATTATATGTTAATTCAAATATGCAAATTTAACAAATTGTAAAATCAATAAACAGCATGGATTAGAGCCTCAAACTCTGGAGTCATTAAATTTGTTACGTAACCGCAAGACTCCATTTATTGTAGCATTAAATAAGGTTTGTAATAATTTTTTTTTCAAATTTTTTTTTCAAATTTTTTTTCTTAATATTAAATAGAGTTATATATATTGACTACACTATATAGGTTGATCGTTTGTTTGACTGGAAACCTATAATGGACAATTCTTTTCAAGATTCACTCAGTAAGCAAGCTGAATCAGTAAAACGTGAATTTAACGACAGAGTGGAGAAGACCATATTGGCTTTTTCTGAGCAGGTATTTAAGATGCATATTCTTTAATAATTAAGAATTAATTTATTGATGACTAATTTGGGTTTATTTTTTTTGATCTTTATTCACATTATATAGGGATTTAATTCTGTTTTATATTATGATAATAAAAATTTTGCCAAATTTGTCTCATTAATTCCAACATCTGCTATCACTGGCGAGGGGATACCTGATCTGCTCATGTTATTAGTAAATCTAACACAATCCAAAATGAGCAACCAATTAATGTACTTGTCTGAATTAGAATGTACTGTATTGGAAGTTAAAGTTGTTGAAGGTTTAGGCACTACAATCGATGTTATTTTATCCAATGGTGTTCTAAATGAAGGTGATAAAATAGTAGTATGTGGTCTTAATGGACCTATCGTTACTACTATAAGGGCTTTATTGACACCTCAACCTTTAAGGGAACTAAGAGTGAAGTCTGAATATGTTCATCATAAAAGCGTAAAAGCTGCTCTTGGTATAAAAATATCCGCACAAAATCTTGATAATGCGGTTGCTGGATCTCGTCTTATGGTCGTGGGACCTGACGATGATGAAGATGATCTCAAGGATGAAGTTATGTCTGACCTTAAAAATTTAATGGGTTCTATTGATAAGACAGGGAAAGGTGTATGTGTGCAAGCTTCAACCTTAGGTTCTTTAGAGGCGCTTTTAGAATTCTTGAAAGTATCCAAAATTCCTGTTTCTGGAATTAATATTGGTCCAGTGTTCAAAAAGGATATAATGCGTGCAGCTATAATGTTAGAAAAAGCAAAAGAGTAAATATCAATTTTTTTATTTCTTTTATTGTGAAAAAAAAAAAAAACTTATCTAATGATTTTATCTTGCCTCAATTAAGGCTTGCTTGTATTCTGTGTTTTGACGTCAAAGTCGACAAAGAAGCGAATGATTTGGCCGAAGAATTGGGTATAAAAATATTTAAGGCTGATATTATTTATCATTTGTTTGATCAGTTTACTGAATACAATAAGGTTCAAAGATGAATAGTAAAATTTTTGTTATTTTTGTTAGAATTGATTATCTTCAGTTACGCTAATTAATTATGTTATATAATTTTTTATAGAATATAGTTGAGCAAAAGCGGAAAGATCAAGCTCCTCAAGCAGTTTTCCCTTGCATTCTCAAAATCATACCTGGATGCGTTTTTAACAAGAGAGATCCAATTATAGTAGGTGTTGACGTGATCGAAGGAATTCTTCGGACCGGGACACCAATCTGTGTCGTAAAAACAGACCCTGAAACAAAAGTGAGTATATTATATACATATAATCATGTAGTATGTGTTTTTAACTGATGATTATTTTTTTACTATAAATTAGAACCGAGAAACAATTTCACTTGGTAAAGTTACTAGTATAGAACAAAACCACAAATCTATCGAAGTTGTGAAAAAAGGCCAAGCAGGTGGTGGTGTTGCCGTAAAAGTGGAATGTCCTGTGTATGAAAATCCAAAAATGTGTGGAAGGCATTTCACCGAAGCTGATGAGTTATATAGCAAGGTATAATGACATGACATCGTTTGCATTATTATTATTGTTGTTGTTTTTTTTTGTTTTTTTGAAATGAACATGTAATTAAATGCTTTTTTTCTTGTTTTCAAATTAAAGGTTTCTCGTCAGTCAATAGACATTTTAAAAGAATCTTTTCGAAATGATTTGACCAATGCAGACTGGCAATTAATAATCAAATTGAAAAAAATACTAGATATTATGTAATATTCTCATTATTATTTATCTTTCTAACTTTTATAAATATTATAGTTAAAGCTGAAAAGTTTAATAAAAAAAATAGACGATTGTAACTTTGTAATATAAATTTCTCGTCCTATGATTTTCTATTGGCCGATAATTGATAATGTGTATTATTAATACATGTGACATAAGTCATATAGCTGCGAAATCTAAAAAATCTAAATAAGGAAGTTATTATTATAAAACGCCTATCAATTTTCTTTTTTAGCCATTAGAAATCAAAACCCATATGGACATTTGAGATTCTAAAAAAAAAGAACCTTCCAGATTTGGGAAACATCTAAAGCAGAGTCCACACTTGGATGAAATAGATGATGAGGAAAGTGATTTAGAAGAGGGACTGGAGATAAGAGAATCATCATCAAACAAAAATATATTAAAACCTGAAGAATTTAAAGTAGAAAAGTTAAAACAAGAACAAAAAGAAATTTAACAAATTAATAAAACAATATGAAGAAATATTTGCAGAAGAAATACATTAGTCAGGGAGAACTAATATCATTAGGCATAGGATAGATATAGAAGAAAATGTTAAACCAATTAGACAACAATATTACAGAACAAATTTGGCTAATCAAGAAGAAATACAACAATTACTAAAAGGTGAAATTATAAAGAAATTATATAGCCCTGAACTTCAACAGTAGTAGTATTAGTAAAAAAGAAAGATGGAAAGCTTAGATTTTGTGTAGATTATAGGAAACTAAATAATGTAATGAAAAAAGATGTTCACCTTATATCACAAATAGATGATATGTTAGGAACATTAGACAAAGCACAATGGTTTATTACACTGGATTTAGCAAGTGGTTATTGGCAAGTAGAAATGGAATCAAAAGATCAACAGAAAATAACATTTGTTACAAAACAAGAAATATATGAATTTACAATAATGCTTTTTGAATTGACTAATGTACCAGTCACTTTTCAGAGATTAATGAATACAGTATTAAATGGAATGATAAATAATAGAGTGATGGTATACCTGGATAATATAATAATTTATTCAAAAATATTTAAAGAACATTTAGAAAAACTAGAAGAAGTATTTTGAAGAATTAAAGTAGCAAAATTAAAAATAAAACCAAGTAAATGTGAATTTTTAGAAACAGAACTTCTATTTTTAGAATATGTAGTAGGAAAAGATGGAATAAAACCAGATCCTAAAAGATAGAAAAAGTAAAAGATTTCTCAAGGCCCACAACTGTAATAAAAATTAGAAGTTTTTTAGTACTTGCTTCGCACTATAGAAAATTTATTAAAAAACTTTGCACAAATAGCTAGACCAATGAATCAATTAATCACATCA